CCCGCTCTCTGCCTCCTTTTTTTTTTTTTTTTTTTTTTTTTTCTGCCGGGCTATCTTCCTCTGCCTTCCTATGTTTTCCTGCCCTATTTCTTCCTCTGCCAGGCTAGTTTTCTTTCTCTCTCTCTTCTCTCTCCCATCTCCATCCCACTTTTCTCTCTCTTCTCACTCCCATCTCCCTCCCACTTTTCTCTCCCTCCCACTTTTCTCCACCTCCTACTCTTTTGCAATGTCCTACTTTGTCCTATCTTCCTACTTGTCTCTCCCACACTCTGTTCTTCACCTCTCCTTTTTCTCTACCGATTGCCTTAGGCCCTGTAACTCTTGTTGTTTGCAGTCTTCGTCCAAAACACATAAATTCGATCATCTTCATTGATAATAACATCATGCCACGGGTTAGTAAAGACGTATGGTGTTGTTGACGATCTGGATGTCGCTCTATAGAGTCCAAGTGCCAGCATGTCTCTCTCAGCCAGGAGCTTCCGGAACACCTCCAAGTACGTCAAGCCATCACAATCACTGGGGGTGTCAATCATATCCAGAACCACCTGCGATCTATCGCCAGCCGGTTTTCCAATGATGAAGCCCTCGACCAGACTCACAGTGTTCTTGTTCGTAAATGATGACGACCTGCAACAACGATGACACGCATCAGTGCATTCTCCTAGCTAGCAAAAGATGGTCCAGCAGACCAATTCCTTCTGCTACCCATTCCTTCTGCCATCCGCTATTATATTATCTTTACAAACAAGCAGATATTGCAAGGACCATCCCACTGGGAAAAACAAATTTAGAAAGCAGAATTTCAATGTCATGGAGGGAAATGGAGGGAAATTCTGAGCTTAGACCCCGTATCCATCCCGTGGTCAAAGTTCCTATCCATCAGACCAGCTAGGATCCGAAGTATGCAATGGCACATAGCGCACGCCGCTCTGCCAACCAACCAATGGCTCCACAAAAGGAGGAAACACACAGACCCCAACAGCACCGACCTGTGCAAACTCTGCTCTGATAACATCCCGGAAGACATACCCCACTGCCTACTATACTGCTCGGAAGCAGCGTGGATCTGGAACGAAGTGTGTAACCTGTGGCACATCCTCTTCTCTTCACCCCCCCCGCCCACGACCCCCCTCAACATCTTGCTCTTATCTAACAACACTAACAACCTCAAAGGAAGAAAGGAGGTCTGGTACCATCTTCTCAGAAAGTTGGCTCTGTGGGTGATTTGGAAGAGGACATGTACCAAGACAATCGGAGAAACTGAGGTGCCAAGAGAAGAAATGTGGGCTCTACTACTGAAAATGGCGGAAACAGAGATTCGAGTCAGATGGAAGGAAGTGACTGTGAGCACGAAAGGCAGACCAGAAAGGATAGCCACAAGGAGACGAGTTTTTACAAGAGACTGGCTTTTACAAGAAAAGATCGCCACTGTGGTGGACAACAGATTGATTTGGAAGAAGTGGCACACCACAGGGACAGGGACGTAGAGGAAAACAAACTGCGATTGTACTCTTTTCTTGTTAAATACGTAATATCTGAAACGGTTTTCACCTTTTAGCAGTAGCGGATGCAGTACCCAGGGTTCGATCCCTAGACGTCACCCTACCCATGTACAATATCTGTGTAGACCCCGAGAATTGAACCTGTGACCTGTGTATTCGTAGGCAGTTGGTAGACCTGTCGTAGGTCCATAGACAGCAGGGGTTTGATCTGTAGGTCTATAGCGTAGGAGTCTTAGTGAGTTCTGGAAGCTTAGCTGTAGACCTTCTAGAAGGTAGGCAAGTGGGCAAGTGGTCAAGTG